CAACCCCTTCCCCAGTCTGCTACAGTTAATGGCAAAAGGACTTCACCCACTATTTGTTTCCGGAGAGTTGTAAAGGACATTATAGCTCTTCATACTATGAGAGGTTAAAACTTTATTTTTCACTTGTGTTTCTCTTCATAAACTCCCACAGTTTATAAAAATAAAATAAAATAAAATAAACAATTGAACCCAAAAGCCTATATCTGTCAATAAGCAGCCATTGAATATTGTTCCTTTTTAAAATAAAATTACTAGTTCCTCTTTGCAAAAGTCACAGATGTGTAAAACTACATGAAAAAAAGAAAGCAAACGTCAAAGTATAAACTTCAGTGCCTTAACATGTTACAGTGTTGTCAGATGTCAATATTACTTTGCTCAGCAAATGATTTTTTGAATTTAAGGAAAATTCAGGGAAATTACATGACAAATAATAGAAAAAAGCAATCTAGATATTGGACAGTGCAAAATATATGCTGAGTTTGATGTCAGCCTTTGCATAAACAGCTGGATTCTATACTCTTTAAACAAGCAGCATCTCCAGTAAAACTGATGAGCAAGATACCTGCTGAACACTAGCAAGATTTTAGGCCAGGAAATTGAGGAGCCCAGGAATTGGTAGTATGACATGTATATCATGTAACTGTAACCCTATTCTAGAACTCGAGGTGTAAGTATAAGTAGTTTTTTCTCTGAAAAAAGTTAATTGGTTTGATATGATTAAATGTTTAGTATAATATTCCACTTACTTTCATATCACACTTTCTCTGTTTGTAAGTAAAAATCTTTTTTCCCCTTCTCCCCAAAAAATTCTAAGTCCTGAAAGTCAAGACAATACTTCACGTCTTTACCAGTGAGATGCATGTGACAGTTTGTGGGAGCTCACAAGGCAGTTCAAAAGTATCCCAATTACATAGTAAATTTGCTACCATAATAACCCTTTAAACCCTAGAAGAGGACAAATTGCCTAGGTCCCTTGGTAGGAAGGAGAACAGGGAGTGTGGGTAGATTTAATTTCACCTAACATTAGCCATCCAAAGTTAGATGTCTCAATTCAACTGGCTGCTTAGCCTCTCTCTCCAGCGAGCGGATGGAAGGAGACAGGTACTTCCAGACAGTAATTCATCCCATCGTAAGATACTTTTCCAAGCTAATGGGATAAATTACCATGTCCCTAAGAAGGTTTTATAAGAGTATTTGGCTGTAGAACAAGTTATAAACTTTGACTTTGTTATCAGAATATATACTCTTTTTGCTTTTAGAACGATTGTCAGAATAATGGCACTTGTAATTCTTTCTCTGTGCTCTGCTTTTCTTTCCTAATTTTGAAGTGTGGCCTTACATTGAAGCTCTCCTTAACAGAATGAGAAATTATTTTTTGGACTGTATATCATCTTGGCTTGTATTGTATACAGTCACTAATAGCCTTAGCCCAAGAATGAGATAGTAACATATCTTTTCATGAGCTCCCATGTTGAGCCATACTCAGACTTCCTTGTATTCTCCTAGAAGTTTTTTTCTGGCTTCATGCTGTGCAGGAACCTTCTGAGAGAAGTTTTCCTGCAAACTCCTATGTATAAACCAGCAGCTTTGCACATACACTGCTCTTCTTTTATCAGTGCTACTTTATTGTTATGAAAAGTACTTTTTCCTGCTCTCACTGGGATTTGGAGACAGGCCGATGTTTCATGAGCATTCCTCACATTCAAGTGCAGGCCTAGGCCTGGGCCTGGCCACCTGCTTGGAGATACGTTGCACCTGTGCCTACATCAGATCGGCTCCTCTCCTCCTGCTGTCTGGGCAGCGGTGTGCAGGCCACCAGCTTTCCTCTCTCTCTTAGATACCTAAACCAACATGCCCAGTTGGCAGATTTTACTGCCTTCAGAAGTACAGTCTGCTGTGAAAATTGTTATATCTTCCAGAAGTTTTCAGCAGAAGTTCACTGGTCTTTTAAAGTGAGTGGTGGTCACCTGCAGCTGGGGGAGTTTAACCTCTCTTCACAGGTGGGGGGAATGTGGAGGAGGGGCAAGGACATAAGGAACAGCTTGGGCAAGCAGGTAATTAGAATGGTGAGCCCTAATTAGTTTTTAATAGTTGGGGAGGGGTTTTTGTACCTACATATGGCTGAGAGACTGTTTGTAGGGAGCAGAAATGAGCTGGGAAGGTAGAAAGGCTAGATAGAAAATTAGCTGAGAGTGGAGGCTTTAGAAAAGTTGAGAGCTGCTTGATTTAGATGTTTCAAATGATGCTCTTAGGGAGCTCTACAAGACTAAAGGAGTTTACGTCTAGGGCTTGTGCTAAAGTGCTAGTTGTGCTAGAGGGAGAGTCCTTAAGTGTTTTCTGTATGTGCTCCTTCTTTCTTAAAAGGAAGAATGACAAGGAAGGTGACTTTAACTGAAGAAAAGGATGTGGCTTAAGGGGCTAAATGGAGCCTGCATTCTCACTGGTAAAATACCTAGTGAAAATGCAACATCCTTTTGGTGCCAGCTGCATGCAAAAGCTCTTCATCCAGCAGAGAGTATGGTCTAGCTTGTGATCTTGGCTGCTAGGTATGAAGGGCCGTACTCCTGGAGGTAGGTGGTTGTCCAATTTCTACTGATTGCAATGAAATAGGAGTGAGAGCGTGTGTGTGTCTGGAGTTCGTTCCTGTGTGGTTTTTTATGTTGTTGGCCTCAAATATTTTAACTGCCAAGACAAGCAGGGAATGTGGACTGGTCTTCTGTTTTTTTTCCTGTTGTCCCTTAGAACATGGAAAGAAGCTTAGATGGAAGCATTTCCCAGATCTTTGAGAATCTACTCTAAATGATCTGATATAAATGCTTCTGTGTGTAAGAAGTGTAAGCCTTGAAACATGCATGTGATCCTACTCATTAATCTATGAATGGAGGAAAAGAAAAAAACCTGGAAGGATAGGGGAAATAAATGCGGATATTAGACCTTTTATACTACTATTTTTTACATTATTTTTTTTCTTAAAGTGCCTATCTCTTAATTATGTCGGAAGATAGAGGTCAGCCTCTAAATACTTCTTTTCCTGTTTGTAAAGTTTGACAAAAAATGATCTTCTGCCTCTTTCTTTGGAGGTATTTGTCTGCTGGCTGCCTGGCTTGGAAAGGGTGCTCTTTTTTTCTGTAATATTGTGGTACTATTCCTCAGTGGGATATCTTTTTTTGGGGGGGTGTCTTGAAAATCAGGTGGAAGAGTTCAAAAGAATGATTGCTGTAGAGGAAATCTAGCTACTAGGGGCAACAGGTGTTGGAGTAAGTAATGAAACCGAAAGCTGATATTCATGTGTTTAGACAGGAAGAATATGCAGTTTTTAGTGGACAATACTAAAGGTAGATATACATTGTATATATTAGTTTAGGAGGATGAAATTAGCATTGTGTGCAGTTTGTCTTTTCTGAAGCTTCTATCAAAAGAAAGTGTTATTCTGTTAAATGGTCTATCTGTTTATTAAAAAATGCCAATTCTTCTAAGGGTGTCTAGTAGAAGCAAAATACACTATATAGTAATGCTAATAATTTAATTTGTAAAATAACTGCTTTTTGATAGACTAGCACAAAAGCACAATTACAGCAGTGGCTGTTTCTCATTAGTGAGAATGACATGCCAGCTTTAGAATATGTAATGATGTATAAGCCCTAGTGGTTATAATTGGCATAGAAATGTACTATATCCTTGGGTGTTAAAAGCCATAAGCTATTTATTTTCATACTTACAAAGAGTATACTACATTGTGGTATAAATCTCACAGGGGTTGTCTTACTTGCATATTTTTAGTATAATTTATGTCCATGTGGTTCAAATAAGAATCAGTCCCCTATTAACATCCTGCTGATGACATAATGTACTGATAAATTAATATCTCATGTCTGGAAAGCTTGTTTGAATTTGGGACATGTGAGCAGGTAACTCAAATCTACCTGACCTTCTTGATACAGATAGCCTTGCTGTCATGAAATTTCTCTTATACCTGAGCTTACACAATATTGCAATGATAGACTTGTAAGACATTTGGCTACTGACTGTGGTGTGTGGCATTCTGGGGTTTTTTTTAGAAGCACTAAATTTACATAAGTGAAGGATGGATTTGGAGGAGCTCTGTGTTATGTTAGGCTCTAGCCTAACTAGGCGTTAATGGCGTAGGAGTTCATGATATAAAATAATTTTGAAACTGGGGAAAAGGTGTATAAAAATAACTGGTGGTGTTCTGCTAGACACCATATTGCATTGATTCTTCTGCAATATCAAAGGTGATTTGATTATAAGGTCTGTATGTGACACATGATATGGGTATGAAAGTCCACGGCAGTGTCTTTTTTTCTTAGAGCTTCAGAAAACAAATATAGGGAAGTGGGTGAAAGAAGTATGGGGATAAATCATGAAGGCTGTATTTTTTTCTTCAAAAAGAAGTTGCTAAATAACTAATCTCTTTTATTACCTATTAAAAATATCCAAGTTTCATTTTTGAGTAAGGTGAAGCGATTCCTAAAGAAAAATTTTGCTTTGTTTTCTAGGAGTTAAGAACAGCTTCTATAAAACTAGTATGAAGCATAGAATGAAAACATTATGAGTTAGGGGAACACAGATATATCTTCTCAGAACAGGCAGATAAACTGCTTTAATGATGACTTTCTGACGTAAATGTGAATTTAGAGCATGTTTGCTTAGTCTGAGTAAATTACCTGGCTGAAAGGTAGTGCTTTGGAGCCACAGTTTAGTTTAGATTAGGCCTCAACATTTGAATTTGCAGTCTAGGTGACAAGCAGAAGTTGAGATGAAAACTGAAATTCTGAGGTCCAAGGCTGAACATTGGTAGCAAATCCAGCAAACTTTCATGTCTGTGATTTTAATGCTGCTGTATTATATTTATGGCTTCTTGAGGGTTTTGTTTGGGATTTTTTTTACTATGGGAGTTTACATGGTTGAGATTGGTGAAGCTGACTGTGTATAACCAAGGTGTTGGTGAATATTTGACATGTCTATCTTTTATTTTGCAGAGAACTACAGCCAACAAGACTTCTGGTGCTCCTTCCTACAGCAGATGGTCCAGTTCACAACCCCATCAGGTAATATGCCCTTGTCAAAAAGGATATGATGCTCAGGTTGACACACTCTTCCTTTTAAAAATGAATCTGTGGGGGGATCTGGGAGTGTTATCTGCATTAGCCCAACTAGGTCATCCTGATCTCTGAGGATGTTCAGGATATCCTGTGGCAAACTGTTAGATGCAGTTGCTGCTCGTGGAGAGTCTTGTACAGCTGTGACTACTCTGATGCAGTGGTGCCTCTCAGTGGGTTGCCAGGGATGATTATTATGTCTGGATCCCCCTATGCATTGCATCTTGTTACTTAAGCTAGAATTGTATTTGATTGATGCTGTTTGGTGTGAAGTCATACCCTCCCATGCCACCCCCTTCTCCCCGACTGCATTTTTTGTGCTATATAAAACAACTGGGTTGTGAAGTGATTATGATGGCCAAGACTTTCAAGGAAAAGTTGTTATAAACCCAGACTGATGCTGGGAAGCTGTCCAGTGATAGCCAGTAAGCAATGTTATTGTTAATGATTTTTTAAAATAATTTGAATGTTATTCAGGGTATCTGTTACATTATCAAAACTATAAGACTTTTTTGACTGTAGACAAGGCCATGGCTTGCTTTGTAATCAAAGAACAATGTATTTCAACTGAACAACTTCCTCTTTAAAAACTCCTCAAACGTTTGATCAGTATTGATTGTATTAACTATGAAAAATTCTGTTACCCTGATGAGCAAATCCTTGATCTGATGTGCTGGATTTTTCCTTTTTATGAAGGATATGTGTACACTAAAAGAGGAAACTTCCAATAAGTTGAAATTTGGCCTCAAAAAGTAAAACTAAAGAAACTAGGAATTTCATCTGTATTCAAATTAGGGTGGGAGAGAAGGTGGTTAAGTGCTTCATGGGCTGTTGGCTGCCTATTTTGCCATCCTTCCAGTCTTAATAGTTCTACTTTCATAAAGTATTAGAGTCTTGTGCCTCCTCCATATAAAAGTTTGGGGGTTTTGCTTGCTAAGGTTTCCATATTCTCTTTTTCTTTCACTTTTTGAACATTGAATTTTCACTGTGGGAAGGGGTGAAAATGAAGAATATGTAGGCAGAAGGTTAATTTCTTTCTGGTGGTTATTGCTTGTCCCTTCCTAGTGCATCAGATGGGGAGCAAGAGAAAGTTACCACTAATACGTACAAGGCTGAAACAGCAATGGCTGTTCCTCTCTGTGGATCTGCAGTTGCCCACTAATGGGAGATGCATTCCTAAGTCAGGAGGATATCATCCTAACAAATCATATGAAATGCACTTTACACTTTACACACTTGATTGCCTTTTTGAGGAGGGAGAAGATAAGTACATAATAAAGATTGTTCGTAGTGTTACAACTCTGTCAAATCACTAGCAGAGTTGAGGGATTAACTATCAGGAATGTTGTTTAAAAGTATGTCTAGACCATCCAGCATCTGCAGGAGAAAAAACTGTTGAAGTGTATTAAAGCATGCCTGTGGTAATTTCCCTCCACCTATGTTGTACCCCACACATTTTAATCTCATCTTCCTTTGTCATTTACACTTTAATCTTTTCTTTTTCATCCTTGTTTATTGTAAGCTTTTGTCTTCTGTGTTTTGGGTTTAATAAGCTTATAAACTTGCCTCACGGATATTACAAACACCAGTCCCAACTGTGAGGATGTATAGCCATGCCGCGGTTCAGTTTGGGAGAGCTGAATACTGCTGTGCACTCTCATGAGCTGAGTGGCAAAATATTTGTATTGGATCAGGGATTTGTATTCAGCCTTGCAACTTGCCAGCATCTATATATAGTTTATTTAAACATTTTTTGAAGATGGCTTTCCAGGAAAGAAAAAGATTAAAGTTCAAATTCATGTTGTCTGCATTTTCTTCAGTCTCATGCAGTGAACCCAATGAAGGCTTTTTCACATACGTATTACAAGAATCCACACAGAAACCTAATAGAACTACATGGCTGAGACCTTTGATGCATCTAAGAAATGTTAAAAGTTAAATTGATTTCCTCCTTCCCTCCCCCAAGTTTTCTTTTTTCATTTCCTCTATCTCTGTGAAGTTTGAAGGTCCATCGGGTGAGAGATTTGAAAGAGTTCTGCAGGTGGGGTCAATGAGTCACTGAAAATAACAGTTTTCACTGACTTATTTTGCTTTGTGCTACTCGGACATGCTTATATTTTGTGTTGGATAAGCTGAAGCATGTTTATCCATCTCAAATATGCTATCTGGGGAAAGTTTTTAGTAAGCTCTTATTAATTCGTTGCCCTTGTGGACATGTGGAATTTGTGTGTTCAGGCTTTTTCGTGTGAAGCTGTTCAGAGAGTGTTGATTTTTTTTTTTTTTTTTTTTTTTCCCCCTGCCCCTTGATCCTGTGTCTTGTTTTAGGGGAGGTGTCTTTAAAGCTTGATTAAGAGGTTCCTTCTGACTGTCCTGGGAAAGAGCCATTACTACCTGCTTCAAGCTAGCTTTTTTCAAGCGTTCTGCTTTCTCAATGTCAGAATAAGGAGCCAATAGTCTAAAAGGTTGATCTTTTTTGGAGCCAATGAATTAATATATTTAATTAAAGAATTGGGGGTGGGTAGGGAAGCCAAACCAAGTCTCAGCTTCTCAACTGGTATCCGTGGAACTGTGGGACCTTACTTTCTTCAGGTGCACTAAACTTGCTTGAGGGATGAAATCAAGAAGATACAAACTGATGCTAATGAGCTGAAATTGCCTATGCTGCCGTTCTTGGCTAGTGGCATCACTTGATGTGTGAAGAAATCTGCAGCAATTTTGTTAGAAGCTCTACAGTGAACTTAGTCCTTCTGTGGCACTCTGAAGACTGTGTGTACTTCCTGAAGTGTAACTGGCTCTTACTGCTGATGAAAATGAGGGAGGAAGTGGCACTTTATCAGGCACAATGATATAGCTGATTTCTAACATGATGCTGCTTTTGCTGAGTGGGATGGCAGCCAAGGCAGAGTATCTTATAGTGATGCCTATCTGTGTGGGACAGTCTGTCTCCTATTGGGAATCATAGGTACATAGGCAGGGTGAGACACAAGGCACTCAATATTGCAGCTCAGCTGTTTCTAGAAGCAGTTTAACAATTCACTTATTACTAGTAATGACTTGAGAATGAAATGCTAGGAACTACTGGGGTAGTATAGCCAAAGCAGGTGAAAAAATTAAGAAAAATAAAAACTTATTCCTTAGAAAAACAGAAGAAATGCAGTATTTCATATATGAGTTTAAGGCTTAGGTTGAAAGAAAACACAGATAAAGTGTCATAAAACAAAGAATGGGACAACAATCCTCTTTACTTCCTTATGTCCCTACTGTTGATGAGAGGCAAAAAGTAGGTAGCACCAAAATGGATCTCACAAATAAGTCCATTTTATATGCAAGCAGAAGACAGTGATACCTTCTCTCTGAATGACTGTCTTGCTCATGGGCACGCTAGGAAGCTGGTCAAGTCTGACAAGTCATTTGATCCCCACTTTTGGCTGGCATCTTCGTGACAATATTCCAAATCTCTTGCACAAGGGTTGTTAGCAGGAGCATCTTTAGAGATGCTTAGATTATATTGCTTTCTAGAAATATGCGAATGCATCTTTAGTATTAGGTGCTAAATGAACCTGCAGAATAATTGGTGTGTCTTAAATGCCATTAAAAACAATATAGAAAATTTCAGCATCTTTCCCGTCCACATATCTATTAGCAAGACATTAGCTTAGAGCTAATGAAGTAAAAATGCAGAAGGTGAAACGGTGTCCAATGGGCTGCAGGACAGGAGGACACTCAGCTAAACTTCCATAATGTTCCTTTGTCTGGCTCCACTGCTGCTTTGTTACAGAATTATTACTCTGACTTTCTGGTGCTGGCAACACAATCTTCTTGCTTTCTTGCAGATAGTCAAAGCTTTGTCCATTGCTCAACTTGGCATCAGTGTTCTAATTAAAGTCACAATGTGTTTTTTTCTTCAATATCCTGCTCTTTAAACATGGAGATAAGTACTGTATTTTAGTACCTAGTGGTTAGTAGTTTTCTTGGAGGAAGCAGAACAGACAGTGGTTGTTGATAAATATTCAGTGTAGGATCTAAATTTTAAATAGGCCAACTCTTCCACCACCCATGTGATAGTTTATAATACAGCTTCTTCATGATTGAGACAAGGCAAATGCCACTCAAGAAGACAGAAGCTGGGAAGGGTGATATTCCAGCTTTACTGTGGCAGCTATTTTATAGAAATCCAGGTCAGAGATTTCAGTATATGTAACTTAGCTTTTGCTTTCTGCCCATTGTGTGTGTGTGTGTGTGTCCCTGCTTCCCCCTTGCCTTGATTTTGCCTTTGTATTTTTCCTGTATAGGTGTTGAAGCAGTAATTTGTTGATAAGCAGGTGATTATACATAGTTGTCAGTTCTGTTGTCTCTTTCAAAGTGCATGAGGTCAAAATGAACCTTGTGATCAAACGTTCAGTACAAAAGAAGAGGATTTATTTAAAGAAGCCATTCCAGGTATGGCTGCTGGTAATAGTTGGGGTTGTTACAGGCTATTTGTATTGGAAATAACAAGGACCTGTGGATGGAATTTGTTACTGGTTAGAGCAGGGAGATGGGTAAGGTTGAGTTTCCTTTATGGGATCTGGCATGTTACCTGAACAGAAAGGTTATTGGAGCACTTGTTAGCAATGGCTTAGAAGATCCATTCCTGTGAAGTGACTTTTCCTGTAAACTGGCGGAAGATATCTAGATCTAAATACTATAAAGATTCCTGTATGCAGCTGTTTTGAATCTTCTTTGTTTTTTCCCTTCAGTGTCTCAAGTCTGACTTGGAAAAAAATCAGTATTGAGAAAGTCACTGTCTCCCTGATGATTCAGCCTTTTGCTTTTCTGCTGAGAACTGCAAACTGTGGCAGTAAACTTTAGGTTAAGTGCCTGTCCACTAGAAAATGTACTGAGAGCACCAACAATTTTCCCAGAAGCCACTGAACAGCTGTCAAATGGCAACAACATTCCTTCGCTGT